AGCCCGGCAAGGGTTTTATTTTTTTTATTTTTGTTTTTTTTTTTTTTTCTCTTCTTGTTTTTCTCACAGTAGGGTGATTAATGCCTGCTGGTGATCCTGTGGTAATATCTCTGTGCCAACAGCAAGATGATAAAGGTTAAGTCAGACATGGACAGACAAATAGACCCAGCTACCTTCTCTGCTGTCGGTGTGTGTCACACAGCAGTGTGAGGCACCTTACCTGCCTGCATCTTCCCACCAGCATTAGGGTTATACACCATGACTACCCCATGTCAAACTCCCTCCCTTCTCTAGGCAAAGACACTTTGATTAATCATTATACACATTTTAAAGCAGCTCTTAAGCCATATTGACCTTTTTCATGCAGACACTAGAAGACCAATAGAGTGCAACAACAGAAGGATGGAGAAGACAAGTTCCAGGGCTGGATCTGTGGGTCTCAGATTCAGTCAAAGAAAGAAACTGAGACCCACATGGATCCTCCTCATCACCAGGGATGGGAGAAGTGCTGAACAGCTGAGACTTACAGCAGAATCAGCTGGTGATTAAAAAGCTGAAAAACGGTGAAGAGCTATTGAAAAATGTGAGATGCTCAACCAGCTGCAGTCCTTGTGCAGGGGAGGACTGAGAGAGTAATTTATCCTGTGGATCCACAGCTGTCTTCAGAAGATTTAACCTTTAGGACCATCCTTCCCCGGATGCCATTCTCTGATAGGAAATGGTTTGGAGGCAGAACAATTCTTCACAGCTTGGGCATTAATCCACAGCTCCATGAGGAAATGGATAAGATTTGCAGGATGATGGCAGGAGCAGCAAAGAGGACACTGTAGGACTGACTAGGGTATCAAACAGCATGGTAGGTTCTTTGACTGATTAAAAGGTTTCTCTCAAATGTTATTTTGATGTGAAATTAAGTTTTCAGCAAAACAGTATTTTTGTAAGTACTGCCTGTGTTCTGCAGGCAGCTTTGATTTCTTTATTGCTTGAAAGAACTACTTAGAAGTTTCCATTTTTGTAGCTAAAAATATGCCTAGAATCTAACTTTCTGTGTGTTTTAACTGAAAAATGTATTTTCCACCAGGAAAAAAAATCGAACTTTTTTTCTGCTGTCTATTTATCTTCTATTTTACAACAGAAAAAGTACATCTATTTGCTTTTCAAGGTATGTATAAGCATAGATAGAATAAATGCAAAATAGAATAAACAGAATTTACCTCACTTAATAATAAGTACTTCAGCAAGAAAAAATCTTCCTTAGATGCTATTAAATGCAATGAAATTGCCAGCCACTCTGTTACCTCTAAGGGTTTGGATCACTTTTCTCAGTAATAGACTTCA